GTGTGTGTGTGTGTGTGTGTGTGTGTGTGTATGTATTGTATGTATGTATATTGTATGTACTTATATAGCACCTTTCTATCTTATCAAGATACTCAAAGCGCTTTACAACACAATCTATGCCCTCATTTACCCATTCATACACACTCTACTATATCCATACAAAGAATAATCAGTGCTTTACATCACATTCATACTCCACACATGGGAGGCAATGAGGCGTTCTGTGTCTTGTCCAGAGAAACTTCAGCATGTGACTGCTGGTGGACTCAAACTCCCAACTCTTGCACTGGAGGATGACTGCTCTAACCACTCAGCCATGGCTGCCCCAAAATTACATGTGCTGTTTGTTTCTTTCATTCAGATGGTTCGAAGGATTCCACTGGGATGCTCTATGTAAGAGAACTCTGACACCACCACTTGTGCCCAGGGTAAGACACGCTCAGTTTGACTTAACTTTGTTTTGTGGTCATTGTGTTTTCTACTTTCATGTCCCGCTCCTCTGTTTTTCAGCTTCAGCCTCCAGTGGAAAGCACCATGTGTGCGCTGTATCAGGAGACGTCAGAGGAGCAGAGCTCAGACTGGGAGGATTTTTGATTGTCTATAAAATGAGCAGGGAAAAACAAATCACTTTCGTAGTCTCTATAAATACTCCTTTGTCCTCTGAGCAACTACCACGGAGAACTGATCGTGTTGTTTAGACAAGGACACGTTCTCCTGTAGGTACTGCTCGGAAAATGGACCGTGCTGCCAAAAGTTTAACTTTTTTAAACTGTAAAAATCTACCAGCATGAGTTTAATCACATTGATTCAGTCAGGTTTAAGCCAATAGCACCACTTCAAAATAAGGGTACTTTTGTAAATACTTAAATAAATAGGTTATTAATGAGGTTGTAAACATGTTGTAACGCATTATTAATCATTTTTTAAACATTGGTCATTCATTAAAGCTGGCGCAGTATTTGACAAGAAGCTCTGTACTTTGAATAATCAGGTTCATGTTTGTTTCTGTTGTTCAGATTAGTTTTTTTTTTTTTTTACACTAAACAACTTCATATACTTAATGAGACTTTGTATTATCTATAAACACTCTCACACACAGGTAACTTACTGGCAATATGTGTACAGTATATTTAATATTTAAATTGTGAAAAATACAGGTCAACAGTGAGAATAAAGAGTACAGATCAATGTTGGCTCTTGATTTGACAAGAAAGGTTGGTATGCACTATAAAGGCCCATTATAACTGGATTTTATAAAGCTGCCCTTATTGTGAAATGGCTCCAAGCCAATAAACTGCTTGTGTCCAGCTGTGCTATAGTTTCATCCATAAAGCTCTGGTGTTGCAGTGAAACTCACTTTTGACAGAAGGAAGGAGTGACATCAGCCTGCAGGGAACGACAAGAAGGGGAAAAATGGAAGGGGTTGCATTTTGATTTCAAAATAAAGTTACTAAAACGTCAAGATTTTAAGTAAAACAATTTTAAAATGTTTTACAAAAGGTCAACATTAAGCGCTGATATTTTCAAAAGTAACTGTGTTAAAGAGGTTATTTCACTCTAAATGTGTACAAGATGTTTGCGTTAATTATTGTAACTAAATCACATGTCAATCTGGTGAATATTATCGCACCCCATTTGTTTTATCTTTATTTTTCTTCCTACAAAACATTACAGTTTTACGTTAATATGTTCAACTAATAAGGGATTTATTTAAAAGGTGTGCGTTTCGAAATCTCATTAGCGCCTGCGGCGCCGCTTTACTTTGAAAGTTTAACAGGAAGTAGAAACCCTACCATCTCCGGTGTGACGTCACGTTTGCTCAAATTCCAATGGAATTTCTTCAGAAACGCTAAACTTGCAGCGCAGAAAGCAGCGTGGAGACTTGCGTGTTGCTCAGGTTAGTTTTATTTGTTATTTCAAACACGGTTGGCGTATTTTTAGTTTCTTTAAATTACTTTAACTTTCAGTTTCTGACCCACGTTTCGCTGTGAAAGGAGAAACGTTTCAGGGAGTCGCTTGATGAGTTTCCAACCCTCCCTTCTTCCTTCCCTCCTTTGGAGAAGTTTTTAAAAGTTTTTCTGAGGATGAATGAAAATGTAAACGAACTGATGAGTCAGATACTGCAATGAGGAGATTTGCGCTTCATTGAGACACAGTTTAGTTCACAGTTTAATAAAATAAATATAAATAAAATAAAAGTGATTATGCTCGATTTTATTAAACAAAACAAGAAAATGGCTAATTTCTAGAGAAATTAACAAATGTTTTTTGTAAAACATGCCCCCACAAAACCGCAAAGTTGTGGCATACTATTTTATTTGAGCTCAGCAGTGAGTAAATAAATTATTATAATTATATTATTATAATAAATTAGCTCGAACAACACACTTTTAGACTCATGCAGGTTTTATTTTGAATATGTTTTGTAGAGATACAGCCTTTTTTTACTTGCATTGATGTAAATTTGTATAATTTTATTCTTGTGCAGTCATTAAACAAACCCAGCATTCAAAACGTATGGCTCCACATGTTTTAGATGTTGTTCCTGTAAAATGAAATTATCTCTGCTTTTTTTTTTTAAAGTCTAAAAACTGTAAATTTTAGTAAAACGTTCACAAAGTAACCACTGATTGCATCAATATTTTGGGTCAATCTAATTTCAGATGGCTGCCACAGATAAGACCTTTGCAAACACAAAAATAACCATAAACCAGCTATTTTTAATCTAATTTGTGTTGTTTTTCTCTTTGTAATATGCTAAAATTTGTTGTGGTAGTAGCTGAGACTGAGTCCCAACACATACTCTGAGGGCTAACTGACCGTGTAAAATCTGTTTTGAAAACTTTAACCATTAGTTAACTCTGCTTGTTTGTTGGCAAAATACCTCACGGAACTAGTAAATTAATTACTTGTAAATGAATGCATTTACTAGTAATTAATTAATTTAGGGATGCACAATATTATCTGCTTGATATCGGTATCGGCGATATCAGCGATAAAGTTCAATATTGGACATCGGCCATTCCATCAAAAGAACTCACCGATATAAAATCTTCTGTTTTAAGTTAATTTTTAATTTAAGAAACTGTCAAGTATATCTATTAATGCACTACTTATGTGCTTTTCACTTGTCGCTTGTGAACAGGTTGAGTTTAAATTTGTGAACATTTACAAATTTGCACTGTTCGTGTTGTCGTTGTGTTGGAGAGAGTAAATGTCATGAATTAATTTGACATTAAACATAATCTAAGTTGAAGTATTACATCATTTTCAGCCCTCTTTTTTGCATCTGCCTTTGGTAGCCGGCCAAACTGACAAACACCATGCAGAATAATGTATTTTAATTCCACAACAGAGAAAGACATGTAGTCTCTGTAAGTAGGTCTAGGGAAATAAGAATCGGTATTGATATCGGTTATTGGCCAAATAAGTTTTAACATATTGGCATATCGGATATTGGCCAAAAATCCAATAGTGTGCATCCCTGAATTAATTGCACATTGGATGTGCATCTCCAGCTGATTAGTTTTTTGGTCATCAGGAGTCATCTGGACACGTCCTGAGCAATGCACGTTGCACAGCATATTTGCTTTCAGTCCTATTGTTTTTAAATAATTGTTTTATCTTCTGTTTCTAGACTTTCATTTTAAAGTAAAACCGAAAGAGGGTTTTTTTTTTGTGTAAAATGTGTCCTAACTTTAGACATATATTGTGTTAATGTTGGCATAAACGATGTGCTGACTGTGCAGTTTCACCCAGTTTAAAGTTCCTCGTGGGTCGTTGTTCGGCAGCAGAAACTGCACAAACTGTGGCCTATAAATGTCAGAAAGCTGCTTTATTAAACCTGCAAACAGTAAAAGAAACAATCAGATGTCATTTTTACAATTTCAAATCATCTTATTGATCAAAAAAATCAGGTGTAGGAATGTAACATTGATGTAAGTATAATGAAACATTTTCATGTTTTGGCATTTGGGTTCAGTGACCTCTGACTGATGAGGATGTGTTGCCTCTTTCTAAGCTTCATTGTGGGACAAAGTGTGAGTTACATTCATTACGCTGCAGAAACAAATTTAGTTTTACTGCAGTTTTGCCAAAATAACTGTCCTTGAACAGATATCTGTAACTAATATGTAACTATCTACACCGGTAGTTGCTACTTTCCATTAAATACCAAACCTGTATGTTGCTCATAAACACCAAGAATAAAAATAATGTTTGTAACACTGAAAACAACTGTTGACCAACGAGAAATGAATTAGTTACCTTGGTGCTGCTGAAATGTTCATCAAAATCTAGATGTTTTTTTAAAAGGCGTCAGTATATTCAAGAATAATGTTTAGACTTTTAGTTCTAACTATGCACATGAGTATATAATATTTTTAACTACTTAAGGTAGGTGAGGGCGATACAGACATAAATGAATATCTCGATATTTTAAGATAAATCGCGATATACGATATATATCTCGATATTTTTTTCTTTCCATAAAGTAACCACAAAAATAGATTTCAGAGTCAAAGCTTTGTCCCAGTTGTCACACAGGCACATTTATTAACAACAGCTGTAACTGTACTAAATAAATGTCTAAAAAATAAACTATTTAAATATATTTAAGTTTGTTTTTTAGGCATTTATTACATATACAAAAGGCAACAGGGATAAATCTTTCTAAAAGTCTCTTTAAGAAAGTTCAAAAAGAGGTTTTTGTAACCAAATAAGTCTTGAAAAATAACCTCTGCACTGTCATAAAATCCTGTCGGTGTCTACACTTTGACATTGTCTTTGACCTTGTTTTCTAATCGGCTAAAACAAAAATATAAAAGTAATTACCGGTAGTTTGATTTATCCTTTAGTATTTATTGTGATCAAGACACAAACTAAAAGGGAAAGAGGAGGCGTTTCAGTCTGATCTTTCATTTTCCAGCCTCTACGTCAAACATGATGCTGTAATCTGGTTCATTGAGTCTAGGTCACAAACTGCAACTTTAACTTTTTGCCTCATTACAAATCACTAATTTCACACAGGACACAAACTTTTCTTTTCTCACTGAAAGTATTGACATATTAATCCACAAAATGATTATTATTTATTGGACTGAAGGTTTATAAAGTTACCTAAACCCTGACCACTTTTTCCTTCCTGCTCATTGTCACCCTCTCATTTGGTATTTTTGATTGTTTTTTCCATTTTTATGTATGGAATATTGTGTTTAACGTAGTTTTACTATGGTGTTGTTTGGTCAAAGGAGAAGCAGGTAAAACAATGGATGGCTGGATATTTTTCTCTCGGATTCTCTTTGCTGGATTCAGGTTATTCGGCTCCAAAGTGATGATAAAGCCAAGAACGCTACTGTAGGTCTGGTTTTCTGTTACGATAATAAGTTATAATCTTTGCTGCTGAGTTACCTGAAGCAGAGAGGGAACGACACACAAAGGTCGCATTGTTTATGAGTCTTGCTTTTGTTGAATGTGACATCTCACACCGTCCTGTTGAAGGTTAAAGGGGGTTGGGAGCTTTATGAGAATGCTGCCGTTGCAAGCTGCGTGCTTCTCTGTTTGTTTACTTGTTTGTTTATCTGTATATCTACTCT